TTAATAATGGTGATAAAAAATAAAATAAAAATTTTTTTTTTTTTTCCCGGGGGCGGGGGCCTTCCTCCCCCCCAGGCCCTTTTTTCCCCCCCCCCCCCCCCCCCCCCCCCAACCAATCACTCCACCCATCCAACTCACAACTCAATTTATCCACCATTCAACCCAAGTTGGAGCGTTCCACCGCTGCTCGTCACCCCAACACCAACACATCTTCAGATCTTCTTCCAATTGAGGCATGCCGCGGCGGAGGTGTGCGGCTGGTGGTCGATGAGATCGAACGGAGAAAATGGAGGCCCAGAAAATGATTTTTCTTCATCTTCGGGCGGCGGCGGCGGCGGCAATGGCGGTCATCCTTGGAAGCAGATGTTTTTTCGAAGTTTTCGGGCCATGATTGATCAAAATCCACAGAGAATTGAAGATGGCCATGTCTGACAGGAAAGGGAAGATGAAGACGGATGAAGAACGAAGACGAGAAAGAAAAAAAAATGAGAGAGAGAGGGAGCTTGGGGGCATTTATGAGAATTCACATGTGAAAATGGAGCAAAAATCACATAAACAGCGCGTGAGCGACACGATTTGTTCTGAGGGGGCTAGATGCTTTGACTTTGTTTACACAAGGAGGCATGGGTGATTTTTTTTTACAGGGGGTATTTGCCAATTCGAGATTTCACATATGTGGTATTTGCAATTACCTCATGAGATCAGCAGACATTACTTTATTTTGCTCAGAAAGTCAGAAATAGGGAGTTCAAAATTAATAGACGGTTGTCTGAACATATTTTGACTTTCTTAACCAAATAAGATTATGATTATGAAATTTATTTCTAGGTTACGCATAATAGCTTAGTATTTGAATATCACAACTCGGTAGCTGAGTACTATGATTTAGTGAGTTAATTGGGGAAAATTACAGTTTATGTCCCTAAACTTTACCACTAAAACAATTTATGTCCTCAAACATTTCAATCTACGAAATATGTCCTCAAACTTGCCACTTTTGATCACTTTATGTTCTGCCGTTAACGTCGGCAGCTAACTTCGACAGAAATAGCATGCGTGGCTCACGTGACGTCTATGTGGCCGTTAAATGTGACGTGGAATAGTATATTGAATTTTAAATGTTGACGTGGCACAAGAATATACTAATTTCCTCTAACTCACTCTCCCAAATCCCAAATCCCAAATCACGTTTCATTCCGATTCTCAAATTTTCAATCCAATCTGCATTCTCACATTTGAAGAGTTTTTCCCTTCTCAAAGAACAGCAGATTCACGTGCAAACACATGCCTGCAATCGAGAGGAAGAAGGTAAACGTGACTCCTCTTCTGGTTCTGAAAAAGATTTTAGAGGAAGCTTTAATTGTTCTCCCAACTCCTCTCTCGAACGTTGGGGTCGTGTGATTCTTCGCCTGCTGATGCTTGTGCCCCTTGTGGTCTCGATGAAGCGAGCACAAGGATGGTGAAGATGGCACAAATTTTACCAAACTCAGCAGTTTCAGAACCTGCCCAGAAGTTGTTCGACAAAATGTCTGAACCAATTCCGGAAAAAAAAAAAAAAATGCAGCACCTGTCAAAGCTGCATGTAATTCTTTTTTGGCCAAGAATAGAGTGCCCAAGAACGGATTCCAGCTCCCCGACTTCCCGAACGAAGTGGAAGAAGACATGATATCTCAGCCCGAAGATGAAAGTGAAATCGAGGAAACATACGACATTTGTTTACTGGGCTATTTTGCTGGTAAAACATCACGAAAAATGGCCATGGATTCACAGACGATTCTGCTATTTTCGAATTTCACCTCAATTGAAGGATTCAAAATGGGGTTTTAGGGAGGGATTGGATTTGTGGGTTCATTGGGGATATGGAGAATTAAGGATTTTAGAATAGAAATAGGGGAGGAGAATAACGTGTCGCTCCACATCACGTTTCGTCGACCAAGTAGGCACTGGGTGTTGTACAACTCGACATTTAACGGCCACATAGACGTCACGTGAGCCACGCATGCCATTTCCGTCGAAGTTAGCTGCCGACATTAACGGCAGAACATAAAGTGATCAAAAGTGGCAAGTTTGAGGACATATTTCGTGGATTGAAATGTTTGAGGACATAAATCGTTTTAGTGGTAAAGTTTAGGGACATAAGCTGTAATTTTCCCAGTTAATTGCATACACCCCATTGAAATGTCTAATTGCCTGTAAAAGCCGCTGTCTAAAAACAATTGGTAAGGAATCCCCTATAGTGGGTTTTATTCAGCCCACCGCCCGCATCAAAATAAGCCCCGTTGACTAACATGAAATGAATTTTCTACCCTTATGAAGATACTGCGTTAATCAACTCTCAAAATTCATCTTCCCCCAATTCGTGAATCAGTTCCACTCCCCAAAATCCTTATCCAATACCAGACCCACTCCCAAAAATCCTAGAAATCAATTTTGTGGGAAAATTACAGTTTATGTCCCTAAACTTTACCACTAAATCGATTTATGTCCTCAAACTTTTTCAGCCACGAAATATGTCCTCAAACTTACCACTTTTTAACAATTTATGTTCTGCCGTCAACTCTGTCAGTTAACTTGGACGGAAATATCACGTGTGGCGCACGTGATGTCGATCTGGCCGTTAAATGCTGATATGGCTGACACACTAAGATGATGTGGCCGAAAAATTGACATGGAGTGACTTGTGGTTCTCTCTCCATTGATTTCAATTTTAAAATTCCCAATTTATCATTAAAACCCCCAATTTCGCATTCCCCGGATTTCATTAAACCGAATGCAGAAACCCTAACCCTCAAATTCTAGTCATATTCTGCACTACAACATACAATTTGATTGACATCGAAATTACCACCTCCCAAATCCCCATAATGAAGTTCAAAGATATCAACTTCGAAGAAACTTACCAAAATTGAAAATTCTTGTTCCATTGTGAAGTTCTAGCTCCACAAATGTTTGAAATTTGCGAAATTATGGTTGGGCAATCTTGTTGTTGCGGAATTTCACCTCAATTCGGTGCTTCGTACGAGGAATTTAGGGGGTAGGGTTTCTGCATCGGTTCAATGAAATAGGGGGAATGAGAAATTGGGGGTTTTAATGATAAATTGAGAATCTTGAAATTGAAATCAAGGGACATCATCCCAGTGTGTCAGCCATATCAGCATTTAACGGCCAGATCGACATCACGTGCGCCCCACGTGATATTTCCGTCCAAGTTAACTGACGGAGTTGACGGCAGAATATAAATTGTTAAAAAGTGGTAAGTTTGAGGACATATTTCGTGGATGAAAAAGTTTGAGGATATAAATCATTTTAGTGGTAAAGTTTAGGGATATAAACTGTAATTTTCCCCAATTTTGTCCGCGAATCTCCATTTTGCCGTGCAAATCGTGAAATATACTTGCAACAAACACCATGTTTGTGTCGTTAACCACCAACTCGGTACCATTTTACGCATATATATGAAGAAGAAGAACGGGAAAATGTGCAGACTAGAATCCCGTTGAAATAATTTCTCCAATTTCTGGTTTTTGATGAGGTAACTTGAAATGTATTTTCCCACTTCTCTTTTTGTTAACATATGTGGAACTTTTTTATATTTAGTTTTTTTAGAGATTTGTGGGTTGTGGCCCCTTTTCTCTATTTTATTGCTTTGTACGGCATATATTGTCTGCATTTGTGTTGGAGTTTGTGTATGTGGTCCATGTTTTCAATTTTATTGTTTCATAAAGCACATTTTGTCTGTAGGTTGAGGGAACATGTGGGGTATAGGATTTCTTTAGGATTTCTGGTTGTTGATGAATTTGAGCATTTTTTTTAATATATTTGTGGTTGTTGAAAACTTTGAAAATTTGTTTAATATATCTTACTTTTTTTTTATATACAGATGGACACCCTCTGCAAAATTACTATTTGGTTAGATGGAAAATTTGTACATGAGCCAAAACTTAAATATGTTGGAGGAAGAAAGAGTGAGGTTGAAAGGGTGTCCTTAGACTACATGAACATGGACCTAGTGTTCGAAATTTACCATTACTTTTTGTACCCTGGGCAAACACTGGATATGGGCTTGAAAAGTATTGTTGATGACAATCGTATTCCTTTTATGGTGAATGTACATGAAAGGTTGAATTTTCTGACATTGTATACTGAAGAATCTGGAATAGAGCCATTACTAGGAGTTGTAAAAACGGGAGTATTATTTATCCAAAAATACTACAGTTGGGGTATGGTGGAGAGGGAATTGAAGCTGATGAGGTACTGGAAACTACAGTGGCTAGTGATGAGCAAAAAAATGCAGTGGCTAGTGATGAGCAAGGAAATGCAGTGGCTAGTGGTGAGCAAGAAAATGCAAGGACTGAGGATGCACTAGAAGAAAATGCAAGGGTTAGGGAAAAATTTGAAGAAAATACATGGGTTGGGGATGAATTTGAAGAAAATGCATGGGTTGGGGATGAACTTCAAGAAAATGCAAGGGTTAGGGATGAATTTGAAGAAAATGCATGGTTTGGGGATGAAATTCAACAAAATGGCAGGGCTGGTGATGAAAATGAAAAAAAAGGCAAGGACAAATGAACCAAAATATGATGAGGAAATTGAAGAGGAAATTGCAAGGGCAAGGGCAACTTTTGAAGAGGAGCTTGTAAGTGAAATGGCAACTTTTGAAAATGAAATTGCAAGTGAAAGAGTAATTTATGAAGAAGAAATTGCAAGTATAGGTGAACTAGCTTATGAGGTACCAACAAATGAAGAGCCACTTCATAATACTGCAAAATATGAAGATTTTGAGGGTGATGATTCCTCAGATGATGACTACATTCAAGCTGATGATGTAGAGTCTTCAGAGGATGATGTAGAATCCAATGCTCCAAGTGAGGAACTGGATGATATTGAAGGCTCATCAGATGATGATATTTTTGTGGATAGACAACCAACTAAAAACTAGTTAATCAAGAAGCTGAATACAATGGGAAAAAAAGCTTGGAGCAAAATAAAAGAGTGCAAAGATGTACAATAAATCCATCTACATTACATCATCCCAATGGTTCAGTGATGTAGAAGATGATGATAATATTGAAAATTTGGATGATCCACAGACAGCCAAATGCCTTACATTTACGGAATTCCAAAGTATGAAGAACAGAAACTTGGAAGAATTGATGAAGTTTTCAAATATTGGCATTTTCAGAGAGGCTCTAACAGATTGGGTGGTAAGAAATGGATATGAGTTAGAATATAAAAAAAAAATGAAAGGAAGTGAGTCACTGCAGGATGCAAAGAATCAGGTTGTAATTGGAGGATTCATGCCTCTGTTGTACAAGGTGGTCCAACATTTCAGGTACAATATTATAATATTCCTTTTTTACTTTTTACTTTATATATTATATCAGATTATGTAAGTTTTAATGGTAATGATATTTCAATTTACAGATAAAGATAACCACATGGGAACACACGTGTTCCAAAAGAAGGGTGAACAAGCATGCCACTGCCAAGTACATTTGTAAAAAAATGGAATATGCCATCAAAGAAAATCTAGATGTCCCCATTCAGAAACTTGGATACTCTGTTTTGAGAAAGGTCGGTGTAGAAGCTGGGTACTTGAAGAATTTGAGGGCTAAAATGGCAGCCCTTGATAAAATCAGAGGTAAAGATGCTCAAGAGTACAATCAGTTGTGGGATTACTGTGAGACTGTAAGAGCAAGGTTCTAAAATGCGGTTATCTGGTTCGTGACCGTTAGGGACCGCCACACGATAAATCGGTTAGGGAAATAAATCGGTTTTTAAATTTAGTGTAATATATTTCTAAATATTATTTGTAAATACTCAAAATATATATAAAAGAATATATAAACATAATTCTATCCTAAACCATAAACTCATGTTTTGGGTTTATCGCCAAGTTCTTCTTTCTTGCCAGTTACAAGTTGAGGGGTAGTACTTGGTTTGGTTTTGGAAGTTGAAAGAATTGGAAAAAAAACAAAACCTATTTTCATTTTAGTTTAAATTATAAAATAAAAAAAAACCGATTTATTGACCGATATATCGGTTTGACCCGCCAAAAACCGCCGCAAACTGCCTCGCCGTAAAAAAAATAATATTCCAAACCGCCTCAACAAAATCGTAAAGGTTTATAACCGATACCGACATGGCGGCCGATATATCGACCGCCACGACCGCTATTTAGAACACTGTGTAAGAGACAAGAACCCTGGTGCTAAGATGCTGCTGAGAAAGGTTCTTTATTCAGATCCTCCCATCTTTGAAAGAATGTACTTTATTTAGTTTGCCCTCAATGATGATGGGTTTTCTAGCAGGTTGTATGCCACTGATTGGGTTGGATGATTGTTTTCTGAAAACACCACATGGAGGCCAGCTACTTTGTGTAACAGGGAGGGATGGGAATGATAACTTGTTTCCCATTGCCCTGGCTGTTGTCCCAGTTGAGAACATGGAAGCTTGGAATTGGTTTTTGACAGAATTGCTTGATGAAATTGGAGGAGTTGAAGAACAAAAGTGGACTTTCATCTCTAATAGGCAATAAGGATTGCTAGAGACTATAAATGATCTTGCCCCTGGTTGTGCTCACATATTTTGTGTGAGGCACATCTATCAGAACTTCAAGCAAAAGTGGTCTTCATTGGACTTGTAAACCATGTTGTGGAAGGCTGCTTCAACTGGGAATAAAAAAGTTTGAGTCATATATGCTTCAAATACAGATTCTTGAGATATCTGCAGCAGAGTACTTGAGAAATATACCCCCTTGTCATTGGGTTAGAAGCCATTTCTCAACAAATTGCAATACTGATATGTTAGTAAATAATTTGTTCGAGTCCTTCAACAACTACATACTTGAAGCCAGGGAGAAGGCCATCATTAGCATGTTTGAATGGATTAGGACCAAATTGACCACTAAAATTCAGATAAAGAGAGCTGGAATGGAGAAATATGAAGGAAATTTTTTTCCAAACATTTTAAAGAAAATCAACAAGAGTAAAAAAATATCCAGAAACTGTTTTCCAAGGTTTTGTGGAAGACAAGAGTTTGAAGTTGATTCATTTCTAGATAGATATGTTGTTGACTTGGGCAATAAAACATGTACATGTGGTATGTTTCAGCTAAATGGTTATCCATGCCATCATGCATGGGCATGCATTGCTGAAAGAATCAAGGTATAGGGTTGAAGATTATGTGGACTCTTATTACAAAAATGAAACATATTTGAAGGTTTATAACTACATGATACATGTTGTACCTGGACCCAATGATTATATCAAAAAAATTTATGAGCCACTTGGTGCTCCAAAGTACAAAAGGAAGGGTGGAAGACCAACAAAATTGAGAAGGAAAAAACCAGATGAGGTTCATAGGACTTCTTACAGAAAGGTCTAACACATACTTGTCAAAATTGCCTAGAACGAGGCCATAATCGGGGAGCACGTAAAAATCCAAAAGATCCAAGGTCCAAGTTGTACAAGTTACATGTAGTTATCATGGTTTTATATGCTTATAATTCTTACTGCAAGCTTTTAATGTGTGTATCTGTTTGTTTGTGATAGGAAAATCCTAGAAGAGAGGAAGTGAAAAATTCTCAAAATGCTCCTCCATTTTCTAGTCAAACAACACCTTCTGCATCTACTTCTGTTACACATCAAACAATACCTAGATCTGTTGCATAGTCAAGGAAAACTCCATTTGTTACACAATCAAGTGCAAGGGCGGGTCCATTTGTTGCAAACTCAAATGCAAGGACAATACCATCTATTGCGGTCCATCTGCTGCACCTCCACAAAAAAGGAAAGGTTACAATTAAAGTTAATTTTATAATTTTTTTAAAATAAACTGCAACTCATGTTCATTTTATTATTGTTTTCCAACATTAATATTACCTTACTGGTTATTATTTAGGTATATGTTGGAAGAAGAAATGAAGTATGGTTAGGAAAATGTAAGAAGTTCAACAAACCAGGTCAAAACCACCAGCTCCCCCATCAGCTCCATCAACACCAATGTTATTAGAACCAGACTGGACCGGCCGGTCGAACCGGTTCAACCGGGAACCGGCGCCTATCCGGTCTGGTTCATCATTAAAACCGGGGAAATGAAAAACCGAGGTCAGATGCCTGAACCGAAAAAATCGCCCAATTGGACCGGAAAAGAAAAAAATCGGTGAAACGCTGGTTTTCACAATATATGCTATTTTATCACCCCAAATGGAAAATATCTGATTTTTTTAATAAATGAAACTTACACACGAACTTACGCAGGTTATGAAATTATGTGTAGAACTTGAAGAATTTGAATTTATTTCCTTCTGGGGTTAAAGAGAACCTCAGATCTATATCAAAGAGATATATCCAATTAAGATTGTCGATCAAAAGGCTGAAGCTTAGGGCCGCTAAGATGTGGCTTTGTGGATGTGCTATCGGAGGTGGTGGCTGGGTGGGGTTTGATTGACTTTTCATTTATTTATTTCCCCTAAATGTGAAGAGAGAGTTAATAAATTATAAAAAAGGCCCCTATATTATATCAATTGATTTTGGTTTTCCAATTAAATTCATCTATTTGATTAATTGTGCTAACAATTTTTTTTCAAATGATAAATTATTTTTCATAAATGTATTTTTTTCAGAATTAATCACCTTAAATTTATTATTAAATAATTAAAATATAAAATAATAAAAAACCCGGGTCGAACCAGGTTGAACCGGTCTAACCATGACCCGAATGTCTATCCAGTTTTACGTCCGGTCCGGTTCTGACAATATTGATCAGCACCTCCATTTGCTTCTTCAGCACTTTTTTCTGCATCTGCACCACACTCTACTCTTTCAGGTGGAAATGCACGTAAAAAATAAGGAAGCCTCAACTATCCGAAGTCATCAACAATATCAAGAAGGTAAAGAAGAAAAGAATGTGGAAGATTTAAATGTTGGAACGGCATTTGTGAACATGTTTTGTTGCTCAAATTGTTATTTGAGTACATTTTGTAAAAACTTTTTGATGAATATTGGTTGTCTCTTTTGAATATATTAATGTTGTTTTTGTTTTTTGAATGTTGGAACAGTGAACATGTTTTGATGCTCAAATTGTTATTTGAGTAAATTTTGTAACATCCTTTTCATGATAAATATTGCATGTCTCTTTTGAACATATTAATTATTAAATCTTTTGATAGCCGTTGGTGAATATTGGTTCTTAATTGTTGTTACTTGCTGAACTGTAGGTGGTTGGATTGTTGGTAGTTGATTGATTGTTGGATCATCTCTGGTTGAAAACAGGGGAGAGGGAGATATATAGAAAGTTGCAAAAAAACAAAACACAACATTGTGAAAATGACATTGATAAATTGCACGAATAACATGACATTGTCAATATTAAATTGATAGATTACCAATAATGCTTGAACAAATGACAACATTGTTATTATTACATCGATGAAGGACAATACTACACTACAACATCTCAAACTAAGAAAACATATCAAAATGATAAAACAAACTAAGATAACATCCAATCATCCCACTTCAAATCTTCATTAACAGAACCAAGATTATGACGAACAAAGTTACGCATATAACCAATGAGATTTGCAACATAATTCGATAATATTGATTATTTTCATTATTTGCAGCAACACTGGATCGTTTTGAAATAACTTCACCAAACTCGTCAATTTGATTCGGCAACTCTTGCTCAACATATTTCCAATTTTGATATTGTACGGCTGTCCCAATAGGTTTCCAAGTTGCTCGATCCGGGACACACCAGCGTAAAAGATTACATTGACAAAACTCGCAAGAATAATACAACTTACCTGTTGTTAGTTTTGTTGGGTTTTCAACAACCCTTATAGTGGGTTTTCAAAACATTATGGGGCAGGAGATATTTGGTTGTAATAGATGATATTTGGAGTGTTGATGCATGGGATAAAGTGAATCTCTTCTTTCCAGAAAATGGTCAAGGAAGCAGAATAATGATAACCACTAGGCTATCAAACGCTACTTCGATTAGCTCTCATGGCCTTGTGATGAATTTCTTAAATGAGGATAAGATTTGGGATCTACTGTGCAGATATGTATTTGAAGAAGAAGAAGATTGCCCTCCTGAATTGGAGAAAATAGGAAAGAAGATTGCCAAAATTTCCGAAGGACTTCCTTTGTCTATAGTTGTGATTGGAGGACATCTAGCGAAGTCTAAGCGCACAAGAGAGCATTGGGAATATATTTCAGAAAACATAAACACAATTGTCAATTTTAAAGACGATGAACGTTGCTTAAAAGTATTACAATTGAGTTATAATCATTTGCCGGTACATCGAAAACCATGTTTTCTTTATATGGGAGTTTTTCCCGAGGACACAAAGATCCGTGTCTCGTGGCTCGTAAAACTATGGGTTTCTGAAGGATTTGTGAAACCAATAAACGACAAAAGCTTGGACGTGGTTTCGAAAGAGTACTTGCAGGAGCTCTGTGATAGAAACCTGATTTTAGTACATAAAAGGGGGTCTTATGGAAATATCAAGTTTTGCAGTATCCATTATCTCTTGACGGATTTATGCTTGAGAGAAGCTGAGAGAGAAGTTCTTTTATGTCACAAGATTGCATGAACCTACCATTCCACAGGGCATTTATACCTAACGCCGCATTGGTATTCATCAAAGCATGTCGGAGAAGGATTATCACCCTGATTCAGTCCTTCATACGTTACAATATGTGCCTCTTGTTCGTTCTTTGATTAGCAATTTTGAAGATCGTTTACCATTGCTTGATTTTAGATTGTTGAGGGTGTTGAAAACCAATGAAAAACCTTTATTTGAGGAGATTGGCATACAAAACGAGTATTCCCTAGAAATTGTCTTTTGGCTAGTTAACCTGAGGGTCATTGCTATCCGATCTTATTGGCCTGAAAATTTCGGATTTCCTTCTTCAGTCAATCTCCTTTGGAATCTACAGATTTTAATTGTAAATGGTACCTGGGACGTTGTTGCACCATGTAAAATTTGGAACATGACTAACTTAAGCATTTTCAGGTCGATTAGCTTGAGCTGCTTGATCCTCCTATCAGTGGGAAAGATGACGAGCTTGTTTTGGGAAACCTACATACACTCACTCATAAAAGAAATTTCAAATGTGGAGAAGAGGTGGTTAAGAGAATCCCCATTATCACTAAATTATAAATATGTTATCATGATGAATCTGAGGGATTTTTTAGTTACTGTCTTGACAATCTTGGCCATCTACATAAACTCGAGTCCCTCAAAAAGTTGACTTTGATGGGGACCAAGCTCAAATGGGAATACATGAAGACAAAGATATATAGGTTTGTTACCCAATCTTCAAGTCCTCAAACTGAAGGCAAGTTCCTTTGTAGGGACCGAGTGGGAAACAGTTGAAGGGCAATTCTGCAATTCTGTAGTGAGCTGGAATGGTGGACGACAGATAGCTCCCACTTTCCACGTCTTGAGCATCTTCATCATCACTACTTGTATATGTTGAACGAGATCTCTTCATGTATTGGAGAAATATCGACGCTTCAATCGATTAATTTGATTTTTTGTAGCTACTTTTGTTTTGAGTTTCTACTTTTGTTGTTGTATTTTACTTTTGATTGTTGTCTCTAACGTTGTACCACCTTACCTCAAGGTATTCTGAACCTACACACGGAGCATAAATCAAATAATGGAGGCCTGGGAGCCGATCGCTTGTCGCGTTATTGAACTTAGATTGAAAATTTGGTATGTTGAAATTTACAATTCATTGTTTCTTCTTGAGAGTCGTTTTAATGTTGAAGATACTTCTTCGTGTCATTCGTTTGACGTGAAATTTAGCCTCCGGTTAATTTATTGGAAGCATTTGTGTGAGCTTGTAAATAATTTCTACTTTGGTTTTCTTTCATGTAATTTCTTTTTGTGGCTTTGTGTAATAGTTGGTTTTTCAACATTTGAACTGGATTTTATTCTTCGTTATAGGGGTACTCTTTCCTTGTGTTAGATCCACAAAGTTTTTAATGAGGTCCCTTTGTACTTTTTTTCTATATGGAACAAAATATTTTTTGGCCCAAATAAATAAATAAAAGAGACTCAAGGATTGTAATATTGTGCCTTTATTTTAATCTTAAATAATTTTCATGTTGTGCTTCAGTTTAATTGATTTTGTTGAGACCCAACCGCTCGATACGACAAATCTTGAAAAGCTCGTAAATGAGGAAACATCACAAATTTATGATTTGTTTGACCGAATCGATATTTGTTGTTAAATATTCCATTGAACCAAAAAGATTCCGTAAGGGGATTGTGTAAGACGGCTACAAACTTCAGGGGAGTTTTGGTCATTGTGGATACGTGAGGTTTTTTTTTCTTTCGTAAATTTACCTAAGTTTAGAGGGTTTCTCATAATTTATCCTTAATATTTTCATCTAATAAGTAGTCAGTTAAGTATTCATACAGAGATATAAAATCTAATTATCATCTGTATAAGTGACGGTAGAACAATGCCATGTGTGGTATACAACGTCTCTTGGTAACTTATTACTATCTTTGTAGCACATTAAATTGATCAAAGAAGAGTTTCGAAAGTAGCACGAAACAATTTATTTTTCGTTTGTAATGGCTAAAAAAACCCCATGTTAACACAATTTAGAATTAACCCTCTATGTTGCATTTTATTTAGTTCACTGCTCCCTAGTGGAAATAAATATATTGACTAAACGGAACTGACTATACTACCCTTCAATTAATAACATAAAATTAGAATTAATATATAATGGAGGCGAAATTATAATTTTACTTAACTTCTGAAACTTAAATTAGGGAACTGAATTGTAATTTTTCTAAACATAAAAGTCGAATTGGATTTAAATATAATTAATCCAAAACTTAGGATCAAATTGGAATTTTTAAAATTTCTTAAATAAAGAAAAAAAAGCATTTTTTATGGAAAAAATGAAAAAAAGAGAGAAAATTGCGTCTTCCCCCGTTGAAATTACCACAACCACCGGCAAACTCCCACCGCCTCCACCGACAATCACCTCGTCAAGCCGCCGCCTCCAAACATAGAGAACAAGCTTATAAAATCGATTCTATGTTACAAATATTTCATTATTATTAAAAACATTTTTAATAACTCGAGCAAGCTTCTCGCATAATTCTCCGGCAACATCCCTCGGGAGGTTTTCATAATATCACATTATATAGGTGAATTTTCGTAATTAGATATTATCTCAGGGAGGTTCTCGTAATTTATCTTTTTTTTAAATGCCAGAAGGGTAAAACAGATAAAATGCATTTTATGTGAGTTTAAAACACTGGTCATAGGGAGATTTTTATAGCTATCCAAACATGAGGGGCATTTTTATAATTAGACCTTACCTCAGGGTGTTTCTCATAATTTTCCCTATATAAATTTAATTATGGGGTAATATGCAATACCCGTTAGTTTAGAAAATATTTTGAACTAAACCCATTTGACTTTAAAGACTTTTTCCTAGACCAAAATCTCATTTTAAATTAGTGAGACCCCTTGGACTTGTGTGTGAAGACAATAATACTCTTAATAAAAATGAATCTAACATCTCCTGTCTGCGTCTCTCTCTCTCCATCTTATTCTCTCGTCACGTTTCTCATCCCCACTTGCAAACCGTTACGTTATGTCTTATCTCTTCTCCATCTCACCATATCATCGATTTTCACCACCACCGGTGCCTTCCTTCCAAATTTTAGACCACCGTCGTTTATTTCCTTCCAAATTTGCACCACCACCGCCGTCTTTCTAGACATAAATCGATGACTATGTGCAAAATCAACCTGAAGATTAACAAATCACATTTATCCGCGTGGAGGAGCAATTTGGAAATAAAAAATGTGTCAAATTCTTAACTCGATAATTTAATAATTCGCTAAATTAATAGAATTTCTCTTGTCTCGATTATATTAATGGGGATACCTCGATAGAAACAAGACTGTGATCG